GTGTGATATGTCGTAAAAGCCAGAAACAGTCTTGTGTTTTCTGTTGTAAACATTGGCACTTGGGTTGTGTGTTGTTTATATCGCAGTCAACTTGACACTTTAGCCTGTGTTGTTTTCTGTACACGTATTTTAATATTTGAATTACGTGTATATATCTTATATGAATACACATTTCATAATTTACAGAGAGGGTTGGATTGTATATTCTGTACGTATATTTTTGACGTCTGTAATATGTGAAATCGTATAATTATTCAACATTTGATTACGTGTGCCCAGGCCTCCTGTTCTTGAAGTTTGGTTACATTGCACTTGCAGTCAAAATCTGGTCTAGTTACTGTTGTAAACAGCACTATCATCAGGTGAGCCTGTCAGTTCAGTATACGTTGTGTTGTAACTTTACCCCAACATGGGACGCAATTTTTGTTTTGTTTTGTTTATATTAAAACACCACCTCGGCTGAAATCGGGGACCCTTATATAACTTAATGGTTAAACGGGGTTTCTGGGACTTGTACCTGGGTAATTCGCATACGAATAGTGGCACTTCGTGTCACCGGATGTTTGTCGCTTGCGTTGCAGTTCTGGCGGGGTTAAATGTCACTCACGTTGTGTTGAAGCTGTCTGACCCGCCTGTGCCTTGTTTGTGCTGTTTTCAGTTTCCGTCCGGTGATTCCTGGCATGCCCCCTTCAGCTTCCGTTTCAGGCCTGGAATCTCTGTTATCTCCACAATTCTCAACTGTAAAACTATAGTCACATGTTATTATTATCCACCCACGATCGTATCACCTATTGACTCGCCGATAGACGACTTCGTCGCCGATCGAGACAACATTTAGATCCTTTGATCGCACCAACACTACAGGAGCCCCTTTCCTCCCCCTCCCCATTATAGCCTTATAGTATGGGATGTTCTGGGGATTTCCCCACCAAATGTCGAGGGTCCAGCGATGTGGTGAAATAAAAGAAAAGAACCGTCTTTTTCATGGCTCTTGGTGGTGTGTAATGCTAAGCTATTTTATATATCGCACATCACATAAGCTAGTCATAATTATAACCAAAAGCTCCCCCTTCGGAGACCTCGTCAAACGTGACGAATTATTTTACAGCAAAGAAGCTACCTACAGTTTTTTTTATCGTCATTCTCCATGTGGGTTCCGGGACCCCATTGTGGGATCTCCACAACAAGCATGTCGTAGAAGTCGACAAATTGGGGCAGCGATGTCGGAGCACCTCTACGTGAGAGGCAAGGAACCAGGAATCTGCATACAAATAAACCAGATATATTAAATGGATGTGCACGCCGCAATCAGGTTTTAGAACAAAACTAAAGTCTGAAGGTGGACGAACACCCAGAACTTTCCACCAGAGTTTGAAGCCAGTGAACGCGAAGAAGAAGACGTTTATAATCATAATTGTTTTTTGTCATTTATCTCCCGTTGCAACATAGACCAACATTGTGGTGCCGACACAAAGAAAACTTTCAGGGCTCAGCCCCACCCCCCCCCCCCCCCCCCCAACATCGAACCTCATCTTCCAGATTTTCTAAGCAAAATAAATAAAATGTGGATGGCCTCAAAGGTCCGGAACCTCCCAGGTTCCGGCTGCTATAGGCCCACAGCCAACTGACACCAATCCGCCCTGCCCTTTGCCGCCCCCCCACCCCCTACCCAACAGTATTCATTTCTTAATTTCCTTCCTGGGGGTTCCAGTGCAAGGAAACTCAAGTTATTTTATTATCAGGTTTTCTCAGTGTATGTTCTATCCATCGCCAGTGTCCTTTCTTAGTTGGCATTCAGCTCTTTCTGAGCTCCGCGCTTGGCATCATATGATTTCATTGATTCTGTTCTACACTTAAACCAGAACAGGTTAAAGCATGTTTATACTGTAGTTTATTAATAATTGTTTTAGTCGTCTTGAAACAACGTCAGATCTCGAAAACTGGATTCTTCTTCTTCTTCTTCTTCTTCTTCTTCTTCTTTTTCTTCTTCTTCTTCTTCTTCTTCTTCTTCTTCTTCTTCTTCTTCTTCTTCTTCTTCTTCTTCTTCTTCTTCTTCTTCTTCTTCTGCTTCTGCTTCTTCTTCTTCTTCTTCTTCTTCTTCTTCTTCTTCTTCTTCTTCTTCTTCTTCTTCTTCTGCTTCTTCTGCTTCTTCTTCTTCTTCTTCTTCTTCTTCTTCTTCTTCGTCTTCTTCTTCTTCTTCTTCTTCTTCTTCTTCTTCTTCTTCTTCTCTTCTTCTTATTCTTCTTCTTCTTCTTCTGCTTCTTCTTCTTCTTCTTCTTCTTCTTCTTCTTCTTCTTCTTCTTCTTCTTCTTCTTCTTCTTCTTCTTCTTCTTCTTCTTCTTCTGCTTCTTCTTCTTCTTCTCTTCTTCTTCTTCTTCTTCTTCTTCTTCTTCTTCTTCTCTTCTTCTTCTTCTTCTTCTTCTTCTTCTTCTTCTTCTGCTGCTGCTTCTTCTTCTTCTTCTTCTTCTTCTTCTTCTTCTTCTTCTTCTTCTTCTTCTTCTTCTTCTTCTTCTTCTTCTTCTTCTTCTTCTTTTTCTGCTTCTTCTTCTTCTTCTTCTTCTTCTTCTTCTGCTCTTCCTCCTCCTTCTCCTCCTCCTCCTTCTTCTCCTTATTTTAGTTACCTCATCCAAGTGCTGGCGGGAGATGTCAGGTTTATTGTGTGTTCTCTTTCCAGTGCGGTATTAAAGTACAAGTTGAGAGGGTTGACTTTATTGCACCAGGTTTTATCCCATATGGCTGGGTCTGTCTCTGCAGAACGGCTAACTGCTTACCAGGAGCATCGCACAGAGCATGAACTCTGAAGCTCCGGTGACAATCCCTAGGGATTTCCGTAAAGTTTGCACTCATGAATTGACCGAACCTACGACCTTCAGAGCGCGAGGCAAACGGCTTGACCACTTCGTCAGAGAGACCCCCCGCAGTGTAAAGATAAGGTCGAACTGTTCAGCATCTTCTCTGTCGGTCTTCCCTTGCCTATTTTCACTTTCAGTTTTCCACAGTCACGATGTACTCCAGTTTTCTCCTTCTCATGACCAAAGAATGTCAACTGTCTCCTTTTGATGACATGACCAAAGAATGTCAACTGTCTCCTTCTGATGACATGACCAAAGAATGTAAACTGTCTCCTTCTGATGACATGACAAAAGAATGTAAACTGTCTCCTTCTGATGACAAGACTAAAGAATGTAAACTGTCTCCTTCTGATGACATGACCAAAGAATGTCAACTGCCTCCTTTTGATGACACGACCAAATAATGTTAACTGTCCCCTTTTGATGACAGACCAAATAATGTTAACTGTCCCCTTTTGATAACATGACCAAATAATGTCAACTGTCTCCTTCTGATGACATGACCAAAGAATGTCAACTGTCTCCTTTTGATGGCACGACCAAAGAATGTAAACTGTCTCCTTCTGATGACAAGACTAAAGAATGTAAACTGTCTCCTCTTAAGTGTACCAAGTCCTTTTTGGCATCTTGTCACAAAACTTTCTACATGATCCTTAAAGGACAGGCACCTGTCAATTGTAATTCCCAGATAATTCAGTTTGCTCTCTCTATTGATGTTTCTACCATCTATCGTGAAACTTGGGACACTAGCTTTAACGATTCTGTTGCCCAGAGAACACCGCAAAACAGACCTCTTTTCCGGGTGGACGACAGACCTCATTAGTGTACACCACTCAGTCACTTTGTCTACTGTTGCTTGTAGCTCCCGGGCTGTTTGTTCCCTCTCTTCCCCCTGCCTATATGCAAGTATATCATCCGCAAAAGTAAGTATCCTTCCAACTTCTGGTGTTTCTAGGCTTGCCATCTTGCTCGTATACACTTTGAAGAGCACAGGCGACATGGCGGATCCCTGTGGCAGTCCTGGGGCCAAAGTGCATGGTTCAGAGGTCCACGAGCCCAGTCGGAGAGCAACCCGACGTGAATACAGGACAGCTGCAACCCAATTCACCATCCGTGGACTGACCTCCTTCTCCTTCAGGGCAGTTGTCAAGATGTCGTATCTTATTCTGTCAAACATCCTCGAGATCCAGTGCTACCGCCATAGTTTCCAGTATGTTCTGGAACCCTTCATAGACGTCAAAAGCAAAAGTGGCCGCATTTGCCCATGTGTCCTTTCCTGGCCTGTAGCTTCTCAGACCTCTTGGGAGAAGCTTCCCCCTTTCCAAAAATTTTTTGCAGATTTGCAGCAACAATCTTCTCCAAGATGTGTTTTGTAAGGTGATGATTTTAAAGCCACTGAGCTTTGAATAATCCTTAAAAGGTTTTGGTAGTGGGATTAGATAGCTGTGCACCCAGTCCTGCTGTACTTTTTCTGTCTTAATGCTCTGGTTAAAACAGTCAGCCATCTCCGCCGGGTCCGCATCGCTCAAAGCCTTCATGTGACCATACCTGACTCCATCAGGCCCTGGTGCAATGTCCTTTGCCTTTTTCAAAATTTGTTTGATATCTTCTACTCGTATCATGACTTCATAATGTGTATTTTTCAAAGTGCCAGCTAACTCCTTTCTAACTGCATCCCTGATGTCTACATCATTATGATCTGTCTGAGCTATAAAATTATGAAGAAAATCCTCCCCTTTCTCCTTGTCTGTTGTCATACGCACACCATCGTCTCTACAAATTGTTCCCACTGTCATAGGCCGATCTTTTCTTTGCACCTGTCTTTGCAGTTTCCAGAATTTCCACAATGTTTTATCGCCTCCCATGTCATTCACAAAAGTTTTCCACTTTGCTCTTTTGGCCTGTGCAGCACAGTGCTTGAAAAACTCCACCTTATCTTTTTTCACATACTCCGCCATCTCCACTTCCTCTCGTGAGCTTGAGGGTGTCTGTCGTACTTTCTTTAGCTGCTCCACTGCGGCTCTCTTTGCCTTCCACGCCTGTTCTACTTCTAGAGTCTACCATGGGAGCTGTAGAAATTTCCGTGCATGCTTGAACCTGTCTTTACACTAACATCAAGTATCTCAACCGTCGTCTTAGATTTGCGGCATGGCTACCGGGATCCCAGGCTACAAAGTGATCCTTCACGGCGACTACGGCGTTGGCAAGAGTTCCATCTTCAGAAGGTTCTTGAACAACACCTTTACCACGGCAACAGGAAGGCACTCGACCATAGGACTCGACCACTGCACCCGAGTCTTCAAGGTCGGCACGCAGTCTGTCAAGGTAGGTGCGTTGTTCAGTGTGACATAGCATGCCTTGTCTTCTCAACGCCTTCTTCAGCATTCCGAGCCCTTGACGTTCATTGCTGCATTTATCCACTCACCTCTCTGGTTGGCCTTCTCTTTCCAGTTGGTGACACCAAGTGTTTGCAGTTCTGTCTAGACATTATCTCTCCATCGTCTTCTTAGTCTGCCTCATGGTCTACAACCATTCATCTCCCTTGTGTATACATCTTTTACATCTCTGTCACCTGACATTATCTCAATATGCCCCAGCCACTTCAACCTTTTAGCTGTCATTATGCCAATGATCAGTGGTGATTTAAACAGAATATGAATTTCGTTGTTGCTTCCTCGCTGTTTACATCTTCAAAAGGTCCAAAGATTCGTCGTAAGACTGTTTTAGAAAACCTGTAATAAGCCGTCGCCTCTTTTAGTTGTGCTCCAAGTTTCAGAGCCATATAAAACGACTGGTCTTAACAAAATTGTATACATTTTGATCTTGGTGCTATGCGACAGAGACTTTGCTTCCCAATGCCTTCTCTATATATATCTGAATACTCACAAGCACGCACGCGCGCACACACAGAGGGAGAGAGAAACGCACATACACTCCAGCACACACATAAGCTCACAGTATTCTTTCAAATGTGTAGAGTGTTGCGAACATGACATCCCCATATGAATGTTGTGAAGTTGATTTGATTACATGCAAGATTAAGAATATTACCCCAGTTTTTTGGTTAATTAAAAACTGCCAGGGAAAGAAAGGGATTAATTGGCGATAGTTAACTCAACAAGAGGTTATTAGTAGCCCCCTGGGAGGAAACTAGTTCAGATATTTCGAGCACATGCAGAAAAGAGCTTTTATGTGTGGGTTCCGGGCCCCATCATGGGGAAAACAAGAATAGACCCACTGCCTCCCCAACAAGCATGTCGTAGGAGTCGACTAATTGGGAGCTTGCTTCGAAGTCGGAGTGTATCTGTCGAAGCGGCATGGAACAACCAATTGCACACAAATATGCGAGTAAAACGGATGTGCACGCAAAACTCAAGCCTGGCACAAAGCCAAAGTCCAGATGGGCGAACAACCAGGACTTCCACATGAGATAACAGCCGGTGAACAACGAAGAAGAAGAAGAAGAAGAAGAAGAAGAAGAAGAAGAAGAAGAAGAAGAAGAAGAAGAAGAAGAAGAAGAAGAAGAAGAAGAAGAAGAAGAAGAAGAAGAAGAAGAAGAAGGAGGAGGAGGTGGAGGAGAAGAAGAAGAAGAAGAAGAAGAAGAAGAAGAAGAAGAAGAAGAAGGAGAAGGAGGAGGAGAAGAAGAAGAAAAAGAAGGACAAGGAGAAGAAGAAGAAGAAGAAGAAGAAGAAGAAGAAGAAGAAGAAGAAGAAGAAGAAGAAGAAGAAGAAGAAGAAGAAGAAGAAGAAGAAGAAGAAGAAGAAGAAAAGAGCTTGTTGAAAGACTGCTGGAGGGGAAACAAAGAACAAGGGGGCAAGAGGAAGACCTCGGTATGTAGGGATGGACAATGAAGAGGAACTAAAAAAAAAACCATGCATGTACGGTGCACTGTGAACATGCAGGATAAATGGTGCTGGAGGCAGATTCTTGCAATCCCACCTGCACTACGGAAACGACGCCTGATGATGAAGAATACAGTTCCTCGCGTGGGTTCTGGGGCCTCAGTGAGGGAGGGAGGACAGACACACGCCCCCTTCCCAACATGCATGCCGTAATAGCCGACTAATTAGGGATGTTTCCTTCGAAGTCGGAGTGCATCTGCGTGATAGCCAATGAAACAACAGCATATAAATAAGCTAGATCTGCAAAACAAATGCAGACGCGAAGCTCAAATTCTGAAGTCTAGTAGTGGACTAACAACTAGAACTTTCCACTGGAGTTTATATTCGGTGAACGCAAATAAGAAGAGAAGAAGACAGTAAAACAGCCCAGTATAGCCATATACCATCTTGTCTCTTCTAGATGCCCTTGGAATTCTCTGCAGGCATTTCATGCCACAAATTTCACTAATTTGCAATCGATCATTGTCTGTTTTCAGTTAACGCTCTGGGATACGGGCGGGGTGCAGAGGATGTCCTATCTAGGGTCCAGCTACTATCGAGGAGCTCATGCAGCCCTTCTTGTGTACAGTCTCAGCAACAAGGACACGTTCGGCGTCTTGTCCCAGTTCATTCTGGACATCGTCATGAACGCAGAGGGCGCTAAGATATTTCTGTGTGGCAACATGGCGGACGCCGTTAACCCGGAACAGGAAAGTGGCCAGGTCACGGAAGCAGACTTGGAGCAGTTCATGTCGCAGTGTGACGATGTCTTCTCCGGAGTCTACCAGGTCTCGTGTAAAGACAACAATGGGTTAGAAGAAATGTTCACAGACATGGCGCGTGTGTTACATCGAGATTCTGTGTCCCGTTTGACTTTACGCAGGGATCTTGTTAGACCAGGCGACACGGAGACGGCGAATTCGGAGAAAAGCAGTTGTTGTTGAGGAACATGTTAATTTATTTGTCAGTTTCTTTCTTTCTGTACAACATCAATGTTTATTCCGCAGATCAAATCCAGCACGTTGAGAAACTACCGCCAGTGCTAAATATGTCATTCATCAGTTTACGCCAGCAAGTCGTCAGCTCAGTGTATGACACCTCTGTCACCGACAATGGTCCAAAAGTTGGAATGCCAGAATCAACGTCATTTCATTATGTAGCAGGTCCTTTGAAGAACGTCGCTGCAATCACGGTCTGCCTGAAAGAAACTCGGTCTCTCGCCAGCTCTACCGCCTCATGAATCAACGTAGACAATGCATGTATCCTTATATTTCTTTATCAGCATTGGGAGGGGGTCTACGCGGTAAAGAGAGCTAAACCATAAGTCTCGCAGTCTGAACGTCGTGGACTGTGTCGTTCAGTTCACTAAAACATTTTTTACAGAGATTTGGATATATAAAAAAAAAAAAATAGCAGGAGGAACCGACAAATCAGAGACGTCAGACAAGAACGCATTATGGTGGTGATGGGGTGATAGCTTTTACATATGGTTACAAAGGGGCACAGCCCCTTACAGTTTTTAAAAAAAGAGGGTGGGGGGGGGGGGTGGATCTTAGCCTTGGTATGTTTAGTTTCTGCAGGACTGCATCTGGTATCAGGGCCAGTGAACATCCATTTGGTGGACTCCAAAAACAGACAAGCAGTCTCCGAGTCTAAGGCATCTTGGAAAACTTGCTACGTGCTCTGATGTTTGGTTATAATTTTCATCTTCATATTTGAGAATATACGAATATATTGAGAAAAAAAATGTTCTTCAGTTTCGCTAATAACCAAATGTGTGTGAATGTTTATGTAATAAATAATAACCTGTGAACTTGAAGATAATGAAGAACGTTTACTGTATGATTCTAAACATTTCCATCAAATGTTTGTATTTCTACCAACATGATATTGAATGCCAATTGTTGATGATGAGAAATACAATTTGTTTTCATTGTTCATAATATCTTGAAATTGTTTCATGCCACTGATAATAATAATTGCAATAACTTAATTAATTAATAAACACTTTGTCAGAGAGGCGGTTGGTCGAGTTGTAAGATGAGAGAGTCTGATTCAATAGTTAGGCGGGAGCGGCAGGTCGAGTGATTAGTTGCGAACGGCTGTCAAATGGTTTTATTAAAAGCTTTTATTCAGAAGACCCGGGTTCGAATCCTTACTGAGGGATGGGTTTTTTTTTTCTTATTCACTTAATAATAAGTAATTTCTTGCTCTTGCTTGAGATCGGCTTGACATGAAACACGTACATCTTACTGAGGAGATATGACCTGTGATTGCATTATCGCCATTCGTTTGTCTTCTTCTTCACGTTCACGGAGATCGATCAGAGTGTATGCTGTATTGTGTTATAGGCTGGCTGCACACTGTCATTGTCTCCTATCTTGCTCATTGCGCTGGGGTCAGATGGAGAAGAAGCTCTTTACCACCTTCTCTGTGGCGATAGCAGGATCGGACCAGTGCGGGTTTGGGTATACGTTAAATTAGTTGCGGCTCAGGGCCTCATAATCTTCAGAACCTCAACAAATCCTTTTTCTTAAATATAATTAAAAAAATATATAATTTGAGTGCAATTCTAAAAAATATATTCTAAGCCTATAACGCCACAATGGCATGTTCTACAGTGCTGCTATTCTTTGCTTCTCTTATGGGTAACAGCAGAAAGTGAGCAAGACAGAGTTTATGGAGTTAGGGATACATGAGTGGAGCCGTAGGAGTTTTCTTAGCTTGTTAAGACTCCAGTGCAATGCAACTCACACAATGAAATAGCAAACTCAATGAGCGTGTTTAAGAAGATCCAAACTGGCAAACTTCCACCAAAATGGGTTGGCAACATCCATAAGTTGCGGTTCAAGAAATTGTCTTGGCTGTATATCTCGGTAACGCCGAATTGAAAGAAAAGGAAATAGCCGAAATATTGGTCGTGCTTACAGTTGTTAGTGGAAAACAGAAGTGTGATAGGGGTAGATATGACGGCTGCATCGGAAGACGAAACAAGAATGGGTCGGACAGATATCCCGCACGGCTAGTCAACTTAGTTTACTTCTGCTTCTTCTCTTCCACCTTGTACCTCATCGAAGTGTCGGAGGGAGATGTAACGTTCGTTGATGAGCTCTGTCAAGAGCAATATTAAGACTGATGTTCATTTCTGTAAGGCTGTTCTTAATGCCATCACTCTTTACTTTCCAAGGTCTTCCACTCGCTCTATACCCGTTGTAACGTTTTAGTGTGGCTCGCTGTGGCGGATAGTACCAGGACATTCTTGTTAGGTGTCCAAACCACTTCTTTGTTGTTCTTTGGTGACTTGTTGGACTGGCTTTTTTTCTAGCATTCGTCTGATTTCGTATTCTGTCTTTCCTTGAAACTCCTGCAGCTCTTCTAAGGCATTTCATCTCTGTTGTCACAATTTTACGTTTATTGGAGGATATAAGTGTCCAGGTTTGGCACTGATAGCATAGTGTTGGCCAAAAAATAGCTCTGATAAAATTCACTTTAAAAAAAAAAGTGATTCAAATAATCATTTTAATGACTTCATAAACCAGCTATCTAGAGTGACTTTAAGAACCATTTACAAAGAGTCACTCCACAAACCATTTACTCAGAGTGACTCCAAAAGAACATTTACTTTAGTGTCTCAAATAATGAGTTTAATGACTTTAGAAACCAGCAATCTAGACTGAGTCTAAGAGCCATTGACTTGAGTAAATCCTCAAACAATTTTAGAGTGTTTTCCCAAACCATTTACTTAAGTGGTTCAAATAATACGTTTAATGACTTCATAAACCACCTGTCTAGAATGACTCTAAGAATAATTTACATAGAGTCATTACACAAACTATTTTAGAGTGACTCACAAACCATTTAATAAGAGTGACTCACAAACCATTTAATAAGAGTGACTCACAAACCATTTAGTTACATTAATTTCACAAACCATCTACTTAGAGTGACTCCACAAACTTTTTACTTGGAGTGGCTCAAATAATCAGTATAATGACTTAAAAAAACCAACTATCTAAAGTAACTCAAAGCACCATTTACACAAAGTGACTGCACAAACCATTGACTCAGTGGGACACAACAAATCCATTCTTCCCTGTCATGAAATGAAGCTAATACTGAAAAGTAACTGGAAACTACAAGAACAGGACAGTCTGGTACTCTACTAGTTCACTTGCTACAACCCATGAAGAATAAATTATGGATGTACAGCGTCTAGACGAGCTGCAGCTCTATAGGGCATTAGGCTCTGGCTGGTGAGTCTGGCTGGTATCCTGAGGTTTCATGACATCTGTTAGTTCTGGAGGACTAGACAACGGCTGGATGTCTAGAGGTTCCCACTCTCATTCTTCTGTTTTGAAAATCAGGCCGATTGTGGCTGGAGACTGAGCCCTGGCGACAGCGCTGGTGTTTAGTACTCCGGGGTATCTGCTTGTGTGTCCCATAACTTGATTAGCTTCGGCACGTCTCGAGCTAATTTCTCTGTCTAGTTTTCCGTCAGATGTGACAATTGTTCCCAAATATTCCTCTGTTTGTCTTCAGATGTTTTTTTTTTAAAAACTAAGTTGATTGAGTGGCAAAAAAAACTTAAATAGGGATCGTCAATGACCCGAGCCCAAGCGTAGACAGAAGATCATTTAAAAAATACAGCTAGCAATGATCCGTTAGTCGCTTGCTAGGCCTCTGCGGGCCGGATTTATCTGCAGGCTTCTTTTTGAAAAACCCAGTGCTAGGATGTCGATACGGAAGATGTTTTTCTGTGCTGGAGGTAGGATTATTTATGGAGTGGCATAGAAGTGTCAATTCTATTTCCGGTGTAAGATACCGGACGTAAACATTGAATGCCGTGTGGTTGATGGGTTTGTTTGTTTGTTTGTTCGCACCCCTGAATATTGCGGTACAAACACGCACAGGTTTGCATAACACAGAGTTTTTAATCTGATCCTGTTATCGAAATGTTCATTTCTGGCTATACTCGGTGCAGCTGCTATGGGGCGGGGTTTCTTATCAAAATAAATACTGAATATCTAATGATCATATGATTATGACCAACTAATTTTAAGAAAATAATACACGTTGAAAAGTAGAATCGGCAAGTCCCTTTGTCTCACGGTATATAAATACCCTAACAGGGCCTAAGTCGTGTGTAAAATGCGGACTTCCTCCGACGAACACATCGCGGCAAAACTAGGATTGCTTCTGAATAACAGACCAATATTATTATTATCTTGATACTTTAGTCAAATTTTTAAAATACCCTCTACCTCTACACCAATAAAACCAGCACAGTTAGATAGCTGTAAACAATCTCTTTCCAACGGTACCTCATTTAGGCTTGTATGTCATTTCTGAGCTGAGATATGTAGGTTTTTGTGGAGATGAGATGTAAAAAACAGCTGTTGAAAACTTGTGTCCGAGAAGCAAGAAGTTTTCTCTGCACAACCGTTACCAAACTGCGCACTTTCGATTTGGCTTTGTTTTCATTGGACGAGATGGCAGACAATTTTTCTCAGACACAGCCACATAATGGCGATTGCCTGAAAAATGTCACTGTAAATCGAACTAGCCACTGATAAGAAAGAAATTTTATACACAAATGTAAAATTTGACGGAGAATTCAATTATAACTAGCATTACCATGTCTGGTAACAGTTAAAGCCTAAAGCCAACTTTGAATACTTATCGCTATTTTCAATTAAACTGATGTAACAGAAAAACAGAGGACGTCCGGCTGTCGTAGACATGCGCTGTTAATCGGGTTCGTTCCCGCCGTTTTCAGCTATTTATAGCTGGTGAAAATCACACCAATCACAAAATTTCATGAGAGATTAGGACCCATCCCGAAACCCCAGCCGACATTTCCCAAACAAGTTTCAAACGGTTTTCAGTGTAATGGAAATTGCCAAAAAGACCGCAAATTGTCGAAACTGTAGTCGCTTTATTATCG